CAATATTCAAAACCACTTGAGATCTAGCTGAACAGAAAAGTCCTATAACTAAGGCTATAATGAAGAAGCCACATCAAGACTGGTTGGAGAGGCGGAGATGTAGAACAGGCTGGCCCCATACCCATGTGTGGCAGTTAAAAATCAGGAGGGAGATCTTGGTTGTGGAGGTCTTCCCTGAAGAGCAAGGCATCCCAGCCCCAGACCAGAATTCCAGTGTCAGGAAAAGAAGTCCCCATGACTTCCAACTGTAAAAATCAGGGGATTGCGGCTGACTGAGACAGAGGGCTCCTGGAGTCCAAGGCTTCCTTTCCTAGGGCCCACTCACGGACTTACTTGAACACACTCATTCTGAGCTTCACTGCTGGGTCAGTATCTTGAAAGGCACCGAGGACATACAGGGAGAAACTTAATGTCTGACCTCAGAGTGAGAGCTGGAGGGGCAGCTTTATCCCAGAGAAAAGTGCTGGCAGAGGCCACCATTCCTTTGCTGAGCCCTACCCCCACAGAGCTGGCAGGTGGACCCCCTATCTGAGACTCCATCAACCTGGCTAAACAATTGCCTCACGCTGGCGATTCCCTGAGATCCCACCGCACCTGACTTGTGTACCCACTAAAGTCATTTCCAGTAGTGGTTTTTCCACATGAACAGCCTCACATGGCTCATGTTTTGGACTTTCTTAAAATCTCTTAAACAAGCAGCATCGGGACTCTGTGTGCCCTATACCTCTTGCTCTTGCTACCTGGCCCCATGCCCACCACCAGCAACAGCTGGCCATGATTTGCAGCTTGGCCTTTCCCAGGCACCTCCAAGCCCAGCACAAGTAGCGGCCATCTGCAGATCACTCTGTAGCTCAGGTTAGGTGGCCAGGAGCAGGGCACAGGCAGTGGCTGGCCTTGACCTGTACCTCTCAGGAGTCCCCAGAGCCAGTTCACCCAGTGGATAGCTTCAGACCACACCAAATTACAACCCAACCACCTCCACGAGTGACACACTGAAGGGGAGGACTTGGTGAACACCACAGATCCACTGAAGAGAGTCCTGCTCCATAGGGTCAACTCCTGCACAGCAGTTCCTCCACTTTAGTCACAGCCAGTCCTCACAGCTGATTAGCCTGGAGGTCAGTCACTCCCACTGACATGCCAACAGCAATCCAGGCCCAACTCTAACAGTATGACACACACAGCCCACACAAGGGGCACATGGGCACACCTGGAGTGCCTGGTGCAGGTGACTAGGGAGGCTGTGCCACTGGGCCCTACAGGACACCTACTATATAAGGCCACTTTGCCTAGACTGGGAGATGTAGCAGCTCGACCTAACATATAGAAACCAACACAGGGAAGCAGCAAAAATGGGGAGACAAAGAAACAGGACCCAAATAAAAGAACAGGAGAAATCTCCAGAAAAAATAACTACATAAAATAGAGACAAGCAAACTACCAGATTCAGAGTTTCAAAACAATGGTTATAAGGATGCTCAAGAAACTCTGTGAGAACTTCAACAACCTAACAAAGAACATGGAAACAATAAAAAAGAACCAGTCAGAAATGAATACAAAAACTGAAATGAAGAACACGTTATTGGGAACCATGAAACAGAAAATCAAATCAGTGGTTTGGAAGATAAGAAAGTAGAAAACACCCAATTACAACAGCAAAAATTTAAAAAAAGGAATTAAAAAAAAAAACGAAGACAGTGTAAAGAGCCTCTGGTACTTCAAGCATATCAACATTCCTATCATGGGGGTGCCTGTAGCAGAAGAGAGAGAATAAGAAATTGAAAAACTATTTGAAAAAATAATGACAGAAAATTTCCCTAACCTGGTGAAGGAAATAGACATACAAGTCCAGGAAGCACAGAGCATTTCGGACAAGATAAACCCAAAGAGATCCATACCAAGACACATCATAATTAAAATTCCAAAGGTTAAAGATAAAGAGAGAATCTTACAAACAGCAAGAGAAAAGCAGTTACGTACAAGGGAGCTCCCATAAGACTGTCAGTTGATTTCTCAACAGAAATATTTCAAGCCAGGAAGACTTGGCATGAAATAGTCAGAGTGATGAAAAGCAAGGACTTAGAACCAAAATTACTCTACCCAAAAAAGCTTTCATTTAGAATCAAAAAACAGATAAAGAGTTTCCCAGACAAGAAAAAGCTAAAGAAGTTCATCACCACCAAAGTAATATTATAAGACACTTCAAAGGATTTTCTTTAAGAAGAAAAAAAGATAAAAAATGTGAATAATAAAATGACAATAAATGCATATCTATCAACAATTACTTTAAATGCAAATGGATTAAATGCGCCAATCAAAAGACATAAGGTGCTGGGTCGATAACAAAACAAGACCCTTACATATGCTGTCTATAAGAGACTTACTTTAGATCTAAAGACACACAGACTGAAAATAAGGGATAGAAAAAGATATTTCATGAAAATGTAAACAAAAACAAAAAGCTGGGGTAGCAATGCTTAATACCAGACAAAATAGACTTTAAAATAAAGGCTATACAAGAGATAAAGAAGGACCCAGCAATTTCACTTCTATTCGAAGAAATCCAAAAGGCTAAATCTAAAAGACATATATATTCATATGTTCTCTGCAGCAATTATTTACAAAAGCCAAGATATGGAAGCAACCTAAGTGTCCATCAATAGATGAATGGATAAAGAAGTGGTGCATATGTACAATGGAATATGACTCAGCCAAAAAAAAGAAAAAAAAAAAGAATGAAACCTTGCCTCTGTGACAACATAGATGGACCTGGAGGGTATTGTGCTGAGTGAGATAAGTCAGAGAGAGAAAGACAAATGCCATATGATTCACTTATATGTAGAATCTAAAAACAAAGTAAACAAGCAGAACAGAAACAGACTCATAGAGAACATTTTGATGGTTGCCCAGTGGGAGGAGCATTACAGGAATATGTGGAAAAGGTAAAAGGATTTAGAATTACAAACTGGTAGTTACAGAATAGGCACAGAGATGGAGTACAGCACAGGTAATGCAGTTAATATTGTAATAACCATATATGGTGTCAAATGGGTACTAGATTCACCAGACATCTATAAAACTGCGTAAGTTTTATAGATGTCTAATCACTTCATAAGTTTTATAGATGTCTAATCACTTCATAAGTTTTATAGATGTCTAATGATTGTACACCTGAAACTAATATAATACTGTACATCAACTGCAACTAAAATAAAGAAAATATATATTATTTGTGATCTTGCATTTGCCAAGAGCAACTGTCATTGTTTTCAATTATATAAATTGAAAATGTTAATAAAAGTATAAATATTGGTGATCCAATTAATAAATGAATTTGCAGGAAAGCAAGTCAAAGAATCTTATGATTAATCAAGATATCACATATTAATAAAGTATTACATATTACATAAAATTATGACACCAAAATATTTGCAATTTATAACTTTATATTGTTACTCAGTTATTAACCCACTATATTCTATAACTAATAAAATATTTTTAAAGGAAAAGCTTTATATCTTAGTCCCTTTAACAGCATATTTTCCTGTTTTTTGGAAAGAAGTTCCACATTTTCATTTTGACTGGGACTCACAAGTTAAATAGCTGGACCTGATTCCAGCTTTACTACTGAAAGCCTGGCCATTTTTTTAAATTAATTAATTTATTTATTTTTACAGAAGGGGAACGAGAGGGAAACACCGATGTGTTCCCTCTCACATGCCCCCAGCCCCCAGCAACCCAGGCCTATCCCCTCATTGGGAATCAAACCTTTTGGTTCACAGGCTGGCACTCAATCCACGGAGCCACACAAGCCAGGGCAGCCTCGCTATATTGATTGAGTCATTTAACCTTTGTAGCTCAGTTTTCTCACCTCTTAAATTGGAATGATATTCACCCTGCTTTGTAGAATTGATGTGAAAAATATATGTATTTAAGAGTATATATATTATACACACACACACACACACGTGCACGCACGCACACATGCACAGTGATTTGAAAAAGTATGGGTGCTTTAAAATATTGGAGGCACTGTTGATCATATGAAATATTGTTTACCACTACCATTCCTTGAGTCAGAGTCTTTAGAGAAATACACTTCTTACCTAAAATGAAGAAACTTAATTCATGTTTTCTTTGGGGCTTTCCAGACTTTTGAGAAAGAAACTACATTTGGTCAATAAGTATATCATTTTTACAGACTATTGATTTCAGAATGGAATTCATTCCTTCCTATGACTAAAAGTAAGTATAAACTAAAAGCCATGTCAAAATACTAGACTTCAGTCAACACTCTTGAAGCCTAAAATTCAAATAAAGTTTCTGATAAGCCCTCTGACTTTTAAGCCACTCAACACAAAACAACACTGGGAGGTCTGAGTTCCTCCAGGACCATCCCTGGGCAATCTGTAGATATCATACTGCTGAGGGTAAATAAAAACAGGGGCGTAAATAAGGAGGCAGGCACACTCCAGCTCCAAGCTGGCCACAATTAGGAGCTCTGCCAGCTGAGAGCAAGGGGTCTGAGAACCTAGTAGGGACTGAGGCAGAGGCTGGGGTCCCAAATCTGAATGCCAGCTCCACACACTCTGACAATACGTATCCTGACCGTGGGTGCAGATGATATTGTTAATCCACTGCCACTGAGGTTTTTCTGAATCCTTTATACTTACTCCCGAGTCTTCCCAGAGACCCTATGTAGGTGACTGGCTTAGGGGTGGGACTAGGACCTTGGGACAAGAGCCTGCCTGACCTGAAGGGGCCAAACCAGGAACTGACCAAGAGGTTAACAAGCTGGCTAGGGGTAGAAATCCAAGGGCTTCCATGCCTTCTAGAAGTTGGCCATCTCCTGCCTCCTCCGGAGCTGTGGAATCCACTCGGTAGTGTTCTCTCTCAGCGGCCATCCCTCCCACTGCCTAACCTTTGCCCTTTCTAATTGCCCCGCTCTCATCCCAACCTCCATAGCTATGTTTAAAGTCCACCTCTGGGGAACACAAACTGAGTGTTCCAGATAATCCCTTTCCCAGTCCTGCTTACGGGCTGCGTGCCTGGGCTCCCCGGGACCGTGGCTGGGGTTTGAGGAGTGCCTGCCCGGCTACAGGATGAAGCTGGTCACCAGCTCCTTGATTTTGTGGCTCAGCCTGGGGAGTAGCCTGGCAGAAAGCGACACCAGCCCTGATGCAGAGGAGTCCTATTCAGACTGGGGCCTCCGGCACATCCGAGGCAGCTTTGAATCTGTCAACAACTACTTTGATTCCTTTCTGGAGTTTCTGGGAGGGAAAAATGGAGTCTGTCAGTACAGGTGCCGATATGGTGAGTACACCGTTTTTCTCCCTGTAAAAGCTGTTCCCGGTGGACCTGTGAGCAGCCGGTGCAGGGTCACAATGGGTCATGAACTTTTTATTGTCATTCAGTCTTAGGTAGGATTGCCAGATTCATCCAGTGAAATCTGAATCTCAAATAAACAGCAAATAATGTGTTAATACATTTGAAATACAGGGTCTGGCACAAATAACACCCCTTTTTATTACAAAATCTTGCATTACAAAATCATAAGCATGTAATTCTATAACACAACAATATCACACTCAAGCACACCATGACATTTTAGGTGAAATGTTCAAATTAAAACTATACACTATGACACCCATACTACCCTACCAACCACACTCAAGCAGCCCTTTACTTCTGGTGGACCCTGTATTTGGGACACACTTATACTGACAAATTATTGGTTGTTTATCTGAAATACAAATTTCACTGAGCTTCCTGTATTTTATCTGGCAAACCAGCTCCAAAGAAGCTTTCTAAAACTTGTTCCGTGTGGCCATTTTAATGAATCTGTTGTGAGGCAGTACTTCAGGGAAAGGCAGCGTGGGCAGGGAGGAAGAGGTGTCTGAGAGTTCTCAGGGATGAAAACTGAAGTTGAATATCCAGAAGTTTTGCCAGGGGCTGAAATAGCTTCCTAAGACACTCTGTGCTAAGGTTGGGAATGGATTTTTTTTCCCCCTGGTGCTGTTCACACCTTCCTTCCAGCTTCGTCAGTCTCTGACAGGCATCAGTTTGCTGACACTCCTCAGTCAGCAATGGCGGGCCTGCAGTGGGCAGGAAAAGCTTACTGCCAGCTGCCTCTGCCCACGTGGGACCAGGCCCTGAGGGGAACTGGGACTGTCCCTCAGGCCTGGTGCCAGGTATAGAATTGTGAACAGGTAGGAGCATCAACTTGCCCCCGTGGAAAAGAGGAAACCTGGGAGCCAGGGTGCATGCCTGGCTGCCAAAGAGGAGACCCTGGGCCAGTTCTTCCTCCCCTGCGCTGAAGTCCGTGTAACGCGGGCCGAATGCCGAGCCCTGGACCTCAAAGCTGGGAGGCAGGGGGGAGCTTTAAAGGCAAATGTTTTCAAAAGCATACAGTCTCATATAGCATTGGCTTTATGGTTGAGTTTATCAAATGTTTCATCATGGGGTTAGAGATAAAAATGGAGAGTCAGTTTAGCCTAGTAGGAAAACACTTGCGAAATGTTTTCTCCAAACACTCAACAGACAGACCTGAGCTTTGAGAGAGACTCGAAAAAGCTGCATACTTGTAGCCTCATCCAATCAGTCTCCCTCACTCCCTTTTTACCTTCGAGCAGGGGAAACTGCTTTCTTATAAGACGAGACTCATTAGGATACCATGGTTAACCACTGCTCTGGAATAAAAACTTTTGCAACACAGAATTCTAACCACATATGACTGCGATGAAAAAGGAAGCTGTGTTTTCTCTGTGAAGATGACACGGGGTAAAAAGCCTGGTCTGTGCTAAGATCCACCTGAACCCCCTAGCCATGGCTTTGTATAAGGTGGGTTGGACAAGAGCAAAGAGGCCTTGTCACTGGGCTATTCTCGGCCAGTTTGCACCAATGGGGCAGGAAAAGGATGAACTCACTCCAGATGTCAACACAGGTGCTCTTTTCCTTCCCAGAGGCAACACAAGATTTAAGTGTGAGGTTCAGCAAATAGATTTAGGAAAAGAAGAATCAGAACCTCTTCTTCCTCCTCTAGCAAAATAGCATTCAAAGATTTCAGCAAATTCTGGTTGCAAGCTTCTACCTGGGCAGGCAGGGTCGGTGTCAGCAGCTCTTTGTGGGGGATGGGAATAGTCAACAGAGATTGCAGGAAGGCAAATAACTCCACTCACTCTGCAAAACAGAACTGTTCAAGGAGAGGCCTGAAAATGGGTTATGGGAATATGGGTTAAGCCTCGTTTCCTTGGAACCCAGCAGAGAGGAGAACCTGAATATGGTGCCAAATTTGTAAAAGATATCTTCTCAACTTGATTGTGAGTGAAGCATTCTTTCAACCAGATAACACCTAATAATTAACTGGGTCTGTGCATTTTCAGTTTTCTTTGTGAAACTGTTACAGAAAACACCCCCTGCCTGTGGGGGCCTTGTAACCCTATGGTTCTTTCTGCCCGCCGCCAATATGAGCTATGACTCTCAGTGCCAGAGTTTGGTAAAATGGAAAGGAACTATGTATTCAAAAGCTACCTGAGTAGCTTTTTTTTTAAAAAAGGTTTAGAGTAATGGCATAATGTCACTGTTAAATCCCAAAGTCCCTTTAAAACACCGACATACACAACACACAGCCCTGCCTCCCCTGGCCAAGCCAGGCCAGCCAGGGGAACCTTATCTTAGGAAAAGAAATAGAAGTCCGTCCCTCTGGTTCCTGGTTTGGTTGGTCTGGGGTAGGGCCAGAAAATTTGCATTTCTAAGAGTTCCCCAGTGATCCTGATGCTGCTGGTCACACTTTGAGAAGAAAACTGCTTTAAATGTTGAAATCTTTTGCCAGAAAGAACAACTTAGCGACACTTAGCCTACAAGAAAAAAAAAATCTATTTTATAGGTACTTACCAATACCAGGCATACCTGGGGATATGGTGGGTTTCTTTCCAGACCACCACAATAAAGTGAGTTTTGCAATAAAGCAAGTTGTAATCTTTTTGCTGGTGAAGGGTCATGTGGTCAATTTGTAAGAAACACAGCACCTGTGAAGCACAGTAAGGCACAATTAAAGGAGGTGCGCCTGTGCTTAAAGCAATAGTTCTCTACCTCGGCCCTGCGCTTGGAATCACCTGGAGGCTTTAAAAGCTCCTACCAAGCAAACCAATGAAATCAGGATCCCCATGGGCTGGACCCAGACATGAGTATTTTTAACATTTCCCAGGTGATTACAGAGTGCAGCCAAGGCTTGGAGCACTATTTAAGAGGTAGGTCATTCTTGGAGAAGTTCAGCCCATAGGTTGTTCAGACGGGTAAAGGTGTGTTTGTACCCTGGTAGCCTGCAATATTGTGTCAGCATTGCTTTTCACACTTCTTATATCTACAGCAATTTATTTTCATGTCAGCACACAAAGTCTGGTCAAAGGACCGGGCTATAAATAATATAAGGAGATTCAGAACATATCAACAACATTCATAGTGCAACTGTAATAAGGAGTCTGCACTGATATGAACACCCCAGAGATTCTGATTTAGTAGGTCTGTGGTAGGGCCCTGGAACTGCATGGGTGGTCCTAACGGAAAAATCATGGGTTCGAATTGGGTGGTGAGGTGAGGAATCTCATTACTGGTGACCCTGAACAAGTCACTTAACTCTCAACCTTTGTTTCCTAATGTTTATAAATAATGTTAATAATACCTACTTTGTAAGGTTGTTGTAAGAATAAAAGATAATATACATAAAGAATTAGTACTATGAGTCCTGGCTGGGTAGCTCAGTTGATTAGCGCATTGTCCCCAGACACCAAGGTTGCAGGTTCAGTCCCTGGTCAGGGCAAATACAAGAATCAACCAATGAATGCATAGATAAGTGGAACAACAAATCAATGTCTCTCTGTCTCTCTCTTTCTCTCAATTCAATTTTTATAAACTTAAAGAATCACCACTGTGCCATACACCTGAAACTAATAAAAAATAACACTGAACATAACTTAAATTAAAAATAAAAATTTATATATTAAAAAAAATTCATGCTATGTATGGCTCATAACCGGTACCAAATACATTTTATGAATGTTATGAGAAAGATGGTCTGGTGAACAAGTTAACTATGCATTCAGATTCTTCTAGTTTTCTTTCAACATTAAAAAACAAAACAAAACACAGATATCACAGTGGCTGGACAACATCTTCTCGGCTTCTGGAAGAAATCACCAAATGATTTAGATGTTCTTTGTCTTTATGAAGGTCTCTGGTGGAAGGTCCCTGGAGCAGAATATCTGTGTCTTATAAGTCATGACTGAAAGTACTGTCCACACTGTCACACTTTGATAAAAGGATCCTGTGATGAATTTCTTCTTGGGCTTAGTTCTAAGGCAAAAAGTATCTTTAAATATCAGTCTTCTTTTTTTTTTTGTTAGACTTTCTTTTAATCTCTTTGAAATCTTAGAGCAAAATTTTACAGACTTGTGAGTTTGTCTATTTTTCCAGGGAAAGAATTCACAGCCTTCATCAGATTCTTCAGGGGATGTATAGCCTGAAAAAAGAAAACAGCTGCTGGTTTAGAGGCAAAGATGGCTCTCCTGCTAGGGTGACCGACTGCCCCACTTTGCTGGGGACTGAGGGAAGGGTCTGGGGTTCCTGGGGTGTGAAGCTTTCAGTAGGAAAATAAGAACAGTCCTGGGCAAACTAGGTTAAATTGGTCACTTTACCTCAGGCAGTAACTTAATCTGTTTCAGCAACTGAAAAAGAATTTATTGCCTCAATAAAATTGTCACAGTTCTGCTTTGTTCCCTTGATGCGTCACTCATATGTCATGCTTGAGTGTTTCTGAAAGTAAGCAGGATATACGTTTCAAGTACAGAGCTCTGTCTCCTTGGTAGACTGAGTGAAGCAGCTTCTGCAGAACCAGCTGGGTGCGGAGAACGGACACGCCCTCCTGGGAAGACTTAACCCTTGACCAGGATCAAAGAGCCCCAAGAGATTTTACTGGTCTTTTCAGTGATGAAACTGAGAGAGAAAAAAGGCTGGATCCAGGAGGGAGTGTATAAAGCTACAGGTGGAACAAGAGTTTCCTAGCTAACTTTCTTCCAAAATCACTCTCATTTTTGAGTGTTTTAAATATTTTATGGTGTTTTACTTTATTCAGAGGTTTTTAATTTTTGTAAGATCAAGTCTGTCAGTCTTTTTCTTTATGTTTTCTGAAGCTTTTGTCTTGCTTAGAAAACCACCCTCACATCAGGATTTTAAGAGCATTCTACTATTTTTTTCTGGGAAAGCACTCATAGCTAATACATAAGTGAGCACTGCTGCGTCCCAATAAAACTTTTTTATGTACACTAAAATTTGAATTTCATATAATTTCACAGGTCACAAAATATTATCCTTGTTTTGGCTTTTTCTCCACAACCATTAAAAAATATAAACACCATTTTTAGCTGACAGACTATACAAAAACAGGCAACGGGCTGGACTTGGGCCGTATTGGCCAGTCTCTGAACTATAGGATCAAGTCGTCAACCTCACACTCCCATAAGTAGCCAAACCCAGAAAATAAAGTCAGCTCGTACATTATTAATGCCTAGACTCAAAACATCAAACTGTAAACTCAACACAACTCAAAACTACTCAAACTATAATTTGAGGATATAATATATTATTTTGGCCAAGACTCAAACCATCAACTTTTTTCTTTGAACTTGTACTTTAAGCTTCATTCCTAAACAGACTTTTTGCAGCTATCATTAATATTAAACACAATAAAAAAAAATAACCATCAATAGCAGGCCAGTTAAGAAGTGTCTATAGTTGGTGTTTCATCGTTTTTCAAATTGAGAGATCAGAGTTTCCTATCCGGTAAGTTCTCAAGTGCAAAAGAGGCAGCGGAAACTGCGCTGAGTCTGCTGTAAAAGCCCTTATCAACAAAGTTGTTAAAAAGATAACTTTACCATCAAATTTAGACAGTTGTTTCTTCATTAATTTTTTTCTTGTTTCTTTAAAGATAGTACCTATAGAGCATTTGTAAAAGAGCAATCCAAAGAAAAAAAATAAAATCACCACAATCTCACCTCCAAGATTAAATACACATCTGATCATATGGCACAGGGTGACTATTTTCATAAGTGTAATTTGATTACCAGTGTTAGTTAATACACTTTATCCATTCCCCCTCCCGCCAGTGCCTCTCTGTCTCTTTCTCTCTCTCTCTCTCTCTCTCTCTCTCACACACACACACACACACACACAGTGGGTCAGTAGAGTTATCAATGGTAAGTTATACTTCTCAAGACCTTTGAAAAGAAATGCAGGAATTACTGGTGGGCTGGCAGACTCCATCAATAGGTACATTACCTCTCCATTACAAAAAGAAAGACTGAGTTAAAGCATTTTTAAAAATACTCAAACTAGAAGGAAATAAAGGGAAACGGTCAAGTTCCAGAAATAAAGGGAAAACAAAGGTGCAGCCGAGAGGGAAGCAGCAGCTGCTGCTGCTGTGGGCCGGTGGGGGGTGGGGGGTCCAGCGGGGACCCCATGCAGACTCCAGCGGCTGGGGGATGGGTTTTAATGCTCAAGGAAAGGACAAGTAACTGTTCACCTTTCCCAAGAACTGGGAAGTTGGGACTGTACAGTTTGCATAAAGCTTAGAGACTGAGGAGCTGCCCGGTCTGTTTAAAAAAAAATGAGAAAACCTCTATCCAATATTCCAAGGAAATAGCGAGGATGCCTTCTGTTCACCTAGGGCTAGGGCTTGAAGGACAAACAACACTCACTAAAAATCCACTACTCTTGGCATATTCTATGCTCAGGGGAGGAATCTGAGAAGTTAACATGAGGTATCTTGAGACTCCTAGGGCCGCAGCAAAGGCAGTTGAGGAACCACTCTATACTGTATGATCCAGAACGCGGGAGTCCTTGAAAAACACAAGCTCTTCTGAAGATGAGCTCTTACTAAAAAATTACAACATGTGAAAAGTAATACACCACGAGGGAGAGTCAGTGGACATTAAAAAATGAAAGACTTAGCATCCCCAAAACTGGAGAGAATAAAATAATATACAGGGTCCGGCACAAAAAACACCACTTTTTAATTACAAAATCTTTTATTACAAAATAATCAGCATGTAATTCTGTAACATAACGATATCACACTCAAGCACATCACATAACATTTTAGGTGAAATGTTCAAATTGATGTCCATCTTGTGCAAAACACTCACGTATCCTACCAACCACACTCAAGCAGGCGTTACTTCTGCTGGACTCTATAAATACTATAATAATGTATATAAATAGTATAACAAGAATATTTGAAGTTATTAAAGAAATGAAAAGGAATAGAAAACATAATAAAAAGAACTCAATGAAAATGAATACACAGATTTAAAAGAAGAATTAAATAGAATTCTAAGAAATGAAAATTATTGAAAGAAAAAACTCGGTAGATGAGTTAAATAGCAAATTAGTCACCCTAGAGAGAATTAGGAATATATAAAATAGATTTGATGAAGCTAGCAAAAATTCAGTACAGAGAGAGAAAAAATGGAAAATAAGAAAGAGAAGTCAAGAAGCATAAGATTAAAAAGGTTCACCATTCAGTAATATGAGGCCCAGAAGGAAGAACTAGAGAAATGAGGAAAATAAAATATTCAGACAATGGCTGTGAATTAATTCTCCAAAAGTCAAAGAATCCCAAATCTTCAGATTGTTCCAAGCAGGATAAGGATATATAATTCACATCTAGGTACATTGTAAACTGTTAGGGTGTGGAAAAATTGAAAACCTTGTGCAGGTGGGAATGTAAAAGATGCGGGTACTGAAGAAAACAAGGTTGATAATTCCTCAAAAAGTTAAACATAAAATTACCATATGGCCCAGTAACTCCACCCCTTCAATATATATACTCAAAAGAATTGAAAACAGATATCTAAACAAATACAGGTGTTCATTGTTCACAGAAGCACTTTTCCCAATAACCAAAAGATGGAAGCAACCAAAATGTCCACCAGTGGGTGGGTGAATAAACAAACTGTGGTATTTCCAGAGAATGGGTTCAGTCATGCAAAGAAATGGAGTACTGAAACATGTTACAGCACAAATAAACTGTGAAAACATTAAGTGAAAGAAGGCAGTCATAAAATGTTAGGTATTATATGATTCCACTTATTTAAATATCCAGAATAAGTAGATCTCTAGACACAGAAAGCAGAGGAGTGGCTGCCAGGGACCGGGAGGAGGGGAGAGTGCGGCCTGACTGCTAATGAGCACGGATCTCCTTCAGAGGACGACAGAAACGTTTCGGAACGAGGCAGAGGTGAGGGTCGCACATCATGAATGCACGGATGCCACTTTAAGATGGTTAATTTTATGTTATGTGAATGTACCTCACTGAAAAAAGAAAACAGGTAAATTAGACTTCATCAAAATTAAAAACTTTTGTTTTTCAAAGAATAGTATCAAGAAAGTGAAAACACTCTATTGAAGGACATAAGAAAATGAGAAGCTTTACTATGCCCATGTTTGAGAAGACAGAATATTCTAAGAAAGTCAGTTGTCTCCATATTAATCTATAAATTCAATGTATATTCAAGCAAAATTCTGACAATCTCTTACAGAATGTACTATGGTGACTCTAAATTCATATGCAAGAGTGAAGGTCCAAGAATAATCAAGACAGTTTTGAGGAATGATAAGGACGGTGGGCTTTAAAACATAGACTTAGTATTTAAAAGTTAAACTGAAAATGGAGTGCAAAGGGGATTCAGCTGTACTTGTAACATTTAATTAAACAAAATAATTTATAGAAAGTTTGACAATGTTAACCTTTATTACGTTTGTGCAGTGGATTCATGGGTGTTTGTTTCTCTTACTTTTTTCAGTTTTGAAATTTGATAATAAAATAATTAAGTAAATATCTGATAGAAGACTAAAGGAAAAAGAGAAAATAGAAATGCCATGTGCCTCACCCCAAGGATTAATTCTTAGCTTATTTCTCCAGTCTTACGCTGTGTCTTGCATCTCCTAAAAAGAGAACATGGGCTTTGGAGGCAAACAAGACGTCTGGATTTACGCCCTACTTCCCCCACTTACTATGTGACTTAGCAAGTCATGCAACCGTTCAGCCCCATTCTCCTTATCCAGGTAACAGATAAAAATACTCACTGGAGATGACTGTTCTGAGGTCATCTTCGGTCAAGCTTATCTCTATGATGACTACAACTGGCAAAGTTTCCTTGTATGTATTTGCAAGATCATAAAATAACTATAAAATAACTCAAATGCCATGTAGGAGAAACCAAGAAATGAAAAGATTTTCAGATAGTTTCTGCTTAGTTCAGTATTAGAAATGCCTAAAACAGGGGTGTTTCCTTTGTCCTTTGGTCAATAACAGTGTGTCTACATTTTTGGAATTTTGCAAAATTCCATTCAAGTTGTTTTGGAAAAATATTTGAGGTACTGTTATAATTCTGATTCCTGAAGTGTATGATCAGATAGTGTTTTCCTTTCTCTGTGCAAAGACTGTGGCTGTGCATTGGAGAGAGGAGTAAGAAACCTTAGGCTGCAGTTTGGTTTTGCCATGGACCTTACGTTCAAGGTCACGCACTTAAGCAACGTTAGAATTGTTACTAAGTAAACACTCATAAAATTCTTCGAGAGTAGGGGAAAAATGCCAAACTTGTCTTTTATGAGATCATCGTCATCATTACCATCATCACCACCTAATTTGGATTTGAGTATCTGAGGAACGATGACTTATAAAGGAAAAATTGGACACCCGTTTAAACAATTTTTATTTCATGAATGCTTCCAAATGCTTCATTTCTAAATATTTCTTCCTGCTTCTTTGCTTTCTTTCTCTGCTAGGAAAGGCACCAATGCCCAGACCAAACTATAAGCCTCAGGAGCCCAACGGCTGCAGCTCCTACTTCCTGGGTATCAAGGTACCAGAAAGTGTATGTACCACCGCCATCATTTTCTATTGATTGTTTTTTTCTTTTCATTTTTTAATTTATTTTTTTATTGTTGTGCAATTACAGTTGTCCCCATTTCCCCCTATTACTCTCCCCCTCCCTACCCACCCCACCTCCCACTTTCAGTCCTCCCCACTGTTGTCCTTGTTCCTGGCTCCTTTATACATGCTCCTTGACAACCCTTCCCCGCCGCCGCCCCCCCCCCCCCATTTGGTTACTGTCAGTTTGTTCTTTATTTTCAAGTCTCTGGTTCCTTTTTGCTCGTTTGTTGGTTTTGTTGATTAAGTTCCACTTATAGGTGAGATTATACGGTATGTGTCTTTCACCACCTGACTTATTTCACCTAGCATAATGCTCTCCAGTTCTATCCATGAGGTCGTGAAGGGATTGGTTTTAATTAAGACAAATTCAAGAGTTATCACCGATGGAAGTGATCACTTATAGAATATAGTTGAGCAATGTGAATAAGATTTTAAATTGGATGCAGAGGAAGGGAGATAATTTTTAGAAGTTTTTGATTTCCTTTTCTCAGAGGCAGCTGTCCCCAGGATAAGTCCTTATACAGTGAACTTAGAAATCACCATTGCAAACACCTGCCAAGTTTTAGGGGCTCAAACATAACGAACTATGAAACAGATCTGAGAGCTTTTCCAGGGCTGTGCTGGAGCCAGCTGGTACTGACCAGCAAGAGCTGATTGTGGTAGTATCATTGGGACTTTTCATGCCAGTAGTGTCAAATCAGCTATTTTTGGAGTCTTAACATCATAGAAATCTGCAGACATCACCCCTAGAAAAACCCTCCACACACACATCCAGCCACTGGCCACACGTTTATCATACACTGTAGACCATTTCTCAAACTGTTGGCCTGCCCTGAAAACAAGTTATAAATGGATTTCTTCCAAGACTTCTTTAGAAAAGAGGTTTTATGTAAAATGTAGGTAGAGGAATTTCATATCTAAACTGTGATTTTTAAATTGTATCTTTACCAGGCTCAACTTCACTTTTCTGATGATTCAAAAGATTTTTCTTTATAATAACTGTCTAAGCAGCATGATGCTTATTCTTCCAACTGAAATCGGGTTCGCCCATGTGGCATTTTTATGCAGACTGGAAAAAGATCCCCTTTCCTCAAGACAGTTTTCTTTGATTTGTCAGAAATTTATCTTAATATGCTGAATGTTAGAAAAGGAGGCTTGATTGCTGTGGTCTAAACATTTTTCTTAATACATAAATGAATCTATGGTGTCTCACGGGAAAGCACTCCTTAGACATGATCCTCTTGTGCATTAAACAACCGGCACAGCTGAACGCCCAGCCTTGTCCACAATAATCAGTATGTGTATGGACACAGGAGAATGACAATCATTTCAAATATATATTTATATTCGGAAAAACTACCTATTTTTGGCCAGTATATTTTACTTGATATCAATTTAGTAGCTTTGGAAGGGGTATGCACTATATTTTGGAAGTAATGTCATTTGGTTTGCTGATACAAACTTGAACAAGTTCAAGAATTTCTAATTTAGTTGAACTGAATGATAAGCACTACACTCATCTAATTCTCAGTTATCTCTGTTGTGATATATTCTTAGTTTTAGGGGTAAAGTGTAAGCAACATAGTTTACCCAAAATTGCAGAGCCCAGGCCTTTGCCTACTCTAATAATGAGTTAGGTTATCTCTTAATGTTGCTTAAAAGAGCATTGTAAACTGTCAAACTCCATATTTTGCTTTAGCTGGCTTTGGAATACGTGTTTGAATAAAAGAACGCCTAAGGGGAACGGACCCGAAATGGCGGATGAATCGATCGCCACTCATGCTCTGAAACCAGACTGTCACAGATTCTATCCAAGTCCAAGTTTGTATTTTCAGAAAAGCTGCAAAAGATTCTAAGATAGTTTATCTGCATCCAGATCCACGCTGTTTCCATCTATTTTATACACCACACAACAATTGCTCTTCTTTGCTCACTCTTTGTATCATGTCCCTTCCTTGCTCAAGAGTGTTTGAAGTCTAACGAGTTACTTTGGAAGTCAAGATCATCCATCAACTTAGCCTTTTCCCCAGTGAAAACTTTTAATATGTATGTATTCCCCTGCTAAGATTCTTAAAAGACTAAACAAATTGACTTGTTCACATAGGATTTGTTCATTATTTCCTTTCTTTACCTGCTATATTCTAAGTTTACCCTTATTTCTGTTAATCTTCTCTTCATCTTCTTTCAAAGTCCTCTAAAAAATTCATGACTGATAACTTTACATATGATATTCTATGACCTTACTTACTCAGTTTATGCCGCATTATTTACAGTTGTTTAATAAACGTGCACATGCGTGTCTGGGTGTGTGTTAGATATTCCTGTATGACCAGAATCCCTTGTGTTCAGGACCTCTTGTGTCCTCCGTCTGACTCTGCTCCCCAACACACACACACACACACACACACACACACACACACACACACACACACACACACTCACACACACGATTAAAACAGTGCTGTGTGGGATGGCTCTCTGAAAAATGCTGGTGACCGTTTGGTGAACTTAGGCTTTATTTTTCATAATTCTGAGCATTAGGATCCTTGGCTCAAACAAAATCTCATGTACGTTTTAGTTGAATTTGGAAATCTTGAAGCTCTGCTCCCTGGACTAACATTCCAGTTTCTATTTTCATCACTGTAATGGTCTGTGAATTTAAAAATTACTATAACCTAAAAGAAGAAAAAACAGGTCACTCTGAATTGTTAAACTAATAATTAAATTATGATTGAAACTTGGCACCCTGTGACCATCAGCCTGATGTATCTCTCCAGTCATTGGCGTTTCTCAGTTGACTTGAGTATGTAGCAGAAATTCGAGAACTGGCTTGTTAAGTACAGGGGCCAAGGTTGTCTAAGGTCCTTGGTCTAAACGTGGCATTTTCTTCCTTCTCTTTTCCCCAGATGGACTTGGGCATTCCAGCAATGACCAAGTGCTGCAACCAGCTGGATGTCTGCTACGACACTTGTGGTGCCAACAAGTATCGCTGTGATGCAAAATTCCGATGGTGCCTCCACTCTATCTGCTCTGACCTTAAGCGAAGTCTGGGCTTTGTCTCCAATGTGGAAAGTAAGTATCATAAGGGCATCTACCTGTGAGTAGGGAGTTTCTTTCCTGTTTCCACACAGTAATGTAGCCAGAGACCCTTTATTCAAAGTGGCCACGAACGCTCATTGAACTTTATGGAACACTGAACTGTGTAAAAAGGGCCGAGGGGAGATGCTGGGCACTCATTTGGTGAAGCTCTTGCCGTCCTGCCCAGGAGCTGCTGGCACCACTCCTGACGGATGGGGCCACACCAGAGCCTTCCCAGGGATATAAAAACTTACCCTTTAAAGTGGAGAAGGAGTTGCCCAGTTGGCTTTAGTTATCCATTCCACTGTTAAGTAATTTTCCATAAAAGGAATTATTCTGTATGGGACTACTTGGTTATATTCTTATTTTGTTCTCAGTCAGGGAAAAAAAAAATTTAAAAACCTATCTTTTTTGGTGTAAATGTCTACACGTGTACTTGAGGATACTTACTTTTAAACAGCTGCTTAGCTATCCAGTTTCTGGCACTGATCCTGTAACATCTTTTTCCTACCTCACTTTAGGAAAAATGTTAATCCCTTAGTTTCTGAAGCCAGAACATTACATCCAGGTATTAGCATTATATGTATTTTAGATGGTGATGTTTGAAAGTCAGGCTTATAAAGAGCTAACCCTACACCACAGAGAAGGTCAGTAAGGAAAAAACTCGTTCAAAGATCCAGAGTATAAAGTAAATCTGTGAGGGCTTGAAAATAGAGATAATTAATTAGGCTCTGTAAAAGGGAGTATCACTCTGTTGTACCAACAAAGGGTGAGGAAGTATTGCTGCTAATCTGGGGTCAAGTTACTTTCTTCAAGCAGTGTCCTATTGGTTCTTTCTCCTAAATATCTCTTTGATAATTTACTGCACATTAACTCAATCTCTGAATCCCATCAAATTTATTCTCCTCATAGGAACCAGATATATTTTTATACCATATAAATCCAGTCATCTTCCTCTTCCTTAGGATTAAATCCAAACTCCTTAGTATGACATACATATGTCCCTCTTTAGCCTACCTCTTCAGCATCAACTTGCTTATTTCTGATTTCTCTCCTGACTTTTGCCATTCCAAACTACTTGGATAGGTGGCCTGTATCTTCCTGCCTCTGCAGTTCCCTCTTCTTGAAACACTCTGATCATTCACTTTTTTTGTTGTTGTTGAAACAGCTTTATCAATGGTGAAAAGCTGAAAGCTCTTTCTCTAAAATCAGAAGCAAGACAAGGATATCCACTCTCACCACTTCTGTTCAACATAGGGTTGGGAGTCCTAGCCAGAACAATTACATAAGAAAAAGAAATAAAAGTAATCCAAATTGGAATGGAAGACATACAACAGTCACTATTTGCAGGTGACGTGATAGTATATATAGAAAAACATAGACTCACCCCCAAAACTGTTAAAACTAATAAACAGATTCAGTGAAAGTGCAGGGTACAAAATCAATATACAAAAATTGGTTGCATTTCCATACACTAATAACAAACTATCGGAAAGAGAATTTTTAAAAAACCTCATTTACAATTGCATCATAAAGAATAAAATACCTAGGAATATATTTAACCAAGGAGGTGAAGGACCTATACACTGAAAACTGTAAGACATTGATGAAAGAAATTGAAGAAGACACAGATAAATGGAAAGATAGTCCATGCTCATGGATTGTATTACCCAAAGAAATCTACAGATTTAATGAAATCCCTAACAAAATTCCAATAGAAGCTGTTCTGAGATGCCTTCTGTATTAATCCTTACCCCCACAGGGATAGAAACCCTTACTGTGGGCTCCTATGCCACCTTGGGTAACTTCCATTATGGTGTAGCGTAACCATCTCTTCACCTGTCTATCCTGTCATCCTCTTTGTCCAAACTGTGAGATCCTTGAGTTGGGATCCCTTTGTTCCCTGTATCCCTGATTACTAACAGAGTGGCTGACCAAGGTATCCAACAGGCCCGCCTGTTTTTTCAATGAGTAAATGGTTATTCATCCCACACTTGAACAGGGAAAGCGACAGAAAACATAGTAGTGTTACCTGACTGAGTATTCTGCAAAAGTGGTACATTTTCCATGGAGTGAGCGTAGGGGTACGGAAGATTCTGACTGCTAACCATGGTTTTGACCTGGAGGCCCATAAAAGGAGGGCACCCCAAAGTGTATTCTGCTCTATTAGATTAGATGGAAGCTTCTCTCAAAAACCTTCTTTTAAATACAAGCTTTTCCTTTTAATTCTGTATGTGGATCATTGCTTCTACTTTCCTCTGGGTATGATATCAATCTTGGAAATACATTGCCTCTTTAAAATTACTCATACTACTTGGGGGTAGTTCTGTGCATTAACTTTTATATTTCTCTATGTATTTTTCAAGTAGCATGTGATTCTCTAGCTGATACCGTGTTTAACACTGTATGGACCTTGGGATGCCGGCCCTTTATGAATAGTCAACGGGCAGCCTGCATCTGCGCAGAAGAGGAGAAAGAAGAGTTATAAGGAAGAGGTGCTTCCTTGATGGGTTTGAGTGACACCACAGCTGTCAGTCTTGGAGATGGTAGTGCGGCAGATGAGTTCTCATCCTTTCTTCCAAAAGCTTGGATACCATAAAGCAGGAGAAAGGAAATACTGGACAGCTGAAAAGTGAGTCCCATTCTTTGAGAATTGGAAAAAAGACACGGAGTGATCTGAAGTCTATTCGTCAGTTTAACACTGGTCTCCCCAACCAAGACACATTTGCCTGGAAATTCAGTTCTTAGTTTAAAGACTAAAATAAAGACTAAATACTGGGATTCCTGAACTTGATAATTATATTCATAAGTGAAATTTTGGAGAGTCCAACCATTTGGGAAGGAATGACTTTCCTCTAAGTCCATGTTTCAGTTGCCAATAAGCATCTCACATATAATAAAGTGTACTTTTTAGAAAATATGAAAAGAGATGAATGAATTCCATTATCACCAATTTGCTTCCGTTTCGCTCAGAAGAAAACAAACCCAACCTGGTAAGTTCCATCAATGATAACAGTTATTCCCACTGGTGCTGAAGAAGTAAGAACCTGTGGTCAAAGGCTTGCCTGATGAAAGGCAATGGAGGTGGAGGTCAGATGGAGTTTGTTTGGTCTCTGAGGTTCCATTTCTTTTCCTTCAGTGAACTATTCCTATTGATAACCCCAAGTGCTAGGTGGTCTTCGCATCATATTAAGATCTGAGAAGCGCTTCATAAAAACTGCCACTGAAGGTAACTTGGAAAAGTTCCTGACATCTGAGGGGCGCGAGAGACGAGTGGCCATTCCCCAAATGGTGGTTCTCAACCCTGGCGGCAAATGAGAATCACCTGAGGAGCACTAGCAAACAAAGACTCTCCGGGGCTGGTATCCACAGACAGGTACACCTTGCTTTGTTGAGTTTGGTTTTATTGCACTTCACAGATGTTACATTTTTTACAAATTGAAGGCAAGACCCTCCACCAGAAAAAAGGATTATCACTTGCTTTATTGCGATACTCAATTTATTGTTGTGATCTAGAACCAAATTGGACATATTTCTGAGATATGCTTATGTTGGTATTTTATAAAGGTGATCCTGGTGCCCTGTGAAGACTGAGGGCCATGAAGGCCTGGGATTGGCAAGTGAAAGCCTGTGGACCAAATCAGGCCAAACACTTGCTTATGTGAAGTTTTATTAGAACACAGTCATGCTCACGTGTTTGTGGCTGCTCCTGGGCTACGACAGCAGAGTTGAGTATTTGTGACAAAGGCTGTATGGCCCAGGGAGCCAAAAACATTGACCATTTGGCCTTTTCAGAAAAATTCGGTAAACCCCCGATATAGGTAATTTTCTCCTTTCTTTTCCTTTTGTTAATTTCACTGGCCCATCAAGATGTTGACTGTAGCCATTTCTAAAAAGAAAAAGAGGAAAAACTGTTTTCTGATCTTATGTAAACCCATAAAATTAATTGGCATATTAAGAAATTGGATTTAACTGCAGATAAAATTTGTCTCTGTGGTTTATGCTATTTATTTCAGTAAAATTTATTAAACACCTACAAAATAGAGTATGGTATAATTTTATACCTTTTCCTATTATTTTATCATTTTGGAGCATAGAAGGTCAAATAGCAGAGCATATAATACTGAATTTTAATTTTGTCTACAGTCATTGAACCACTTAAATGCATGTTAATGAATTTAACATTTATTAATTGAAGATTTCACTTAAGACCATATAAAACATCAAAAGAAAATATTGTGAAAGAGAAAAACCAAATAGTATCTTTTGGTACAAACATATTTTGATAAACTTCCATATCCCTTATAACTATTCTGTATTTGAACTGAAATTTCTAGGTATCATATTATTTACATATTTGAGGAATCATTGGGTATTTAATTCATAGTTTCAAGCAACTATTTAATTTTTTAGGTTCTTAATTTGAAATATTATACCCAACTTCTGATTTTAGTGGTACTACCGCATCCTATACAAGGTGTTTTATTGTAGTAAAGAAATGGAATGGGGTGAGCTGTTTTCTGTGTGGACCGCATAGCTTTCGGCCGTAGGAGGATGAAGCCCTATCAGCGTCCGGTGGGTCAGCTGTGAGCTGACCTCTCCTGACCCAGTGGGCCAGAATCAGATTGAATCGAGTCTGGGGGTTTCTAGGCCCACAGCACGAGGTTTAAAGAATGGCGGTGTTCTAGTGCGCTGACTGATATCCTCAGAGGGCATGGGGTGAAGTTCAAAACAGGTGGGCAGCCCGAAGCCAGGTCTTGGATGTTTGCTTCCTAGTCCTCCCAGTCGATGCTAATTGGGCCGCCTGTCAGCATTTGGCTCTGCATAGCAGCTGTGTCCCCTCCTTCTGCCTCACGACGCATTCGCCGGTGGCAGCCCTGGGCACAGCGGGACTGCTCCTCCAGCATTCCACACACAAGGACCCGGCAGTGCAGAAACACTTCCTGCAAGGACCATAAATATAATTAACAAAAAAAATTATAACAGCTATCACTTGTGGGGCACTTTCTAGAAGCCAGACACTACCAAATGTTTCATATATATTATATCATTTCATCTAAACAACCACCCTTTGAGATAGATGTTATCATCCCCGTTTTACAGATGAGAAAATGGAGAGTAGAGAGCCTTAGAGAGCTTGCCCAAATTCACACATCAGTAATGCGGCAGACACAATGAGTCCCGTGGGTGATTGAAAACCGCATGTTCATAACTTATGCATTTATTCAGGGCCAGGAGAGACCTTTGTGAAGGCAACATCTGACAATGTTAACATTTTCGCTCCTCACATCAAGATGAGGAATTACATCGGCTCTCACGCACTTCCGTGTAAAATAAATTCTTTCTCCAAGCTTCTTCCTATAAGTAACTTCCCAAAGCATGTTGCCCAGTTGAGGAGGGAAGTCAGGATTAGCCATCATAGTTAGCACTTGTTCTGGAGCAGAGATTTAGCTGGAAAGGACATCAATCCACTTAAATGCAGTGTGGAAAAGACTATTGGTCTCTTAAACTTTTGCTGAAATGTTTCAACAACTCTATTGAAACAAAAAACTTCTACCTTACCCTAGCATATATAGTTGCTTATTACCTCTATATTCATGTATGCACATTAAAAAAATGTAGCATATTTAATATACATGTAAACTGTTATGACAAGTTTTTCACATCTCTTTTTTCTGGATTTCCATATTTCTATACCATTTTAATAACTACTTAGTACTGCACTAATTGATATACGGCAGCCCTGTTTGGAGGCTTTTTTTGCTCCCCTTGTAACAACACTCTATAAACACATCCAAGTCTTGTTTTTCTTCTTTGCTTGCTTGATTTTGAGAAACTGTCAGAATTGGTATTTTTAGAAAAAAGAATATGGTGATTTTATGGTTATTATTACATATAAATAGACAACTTTCCAGAAAGTATGCCAAATTATACAGCCATCATATGCTTTTTATAATTTTGCAAGTGTGATTCATGATTTTTGTAAGTTAATATGTATAAAGTAGTGTCATAATTGTTTTAATACGATTTTTAAAAAAGATTTTATTTATTTATTTTTAGAGAGGGGAAGGAGAAAGAGAGGGAAACATCAATGTGTGGTTGCATCTTGTGCGCCCCCTGCTGGGGACTTGGCCTGCAACCCAGGCATGTGCCCTGCACAGGGGATCGAACCAGCAACCCTTTAGTTCGCAGGCCAGCACTCAAGCCACTGAACCACACCAGCCAGAGCTATCATAATTGTTTTAATTGGCATTTTAAATACAATTTTCACTGAATATTTCACTATTCAGTGTTTTTTTTTCTTCTGTGAATTCTCTGGCCATATTCTTTGCAACATGATCACTACACAGGACTTTTCAGCCATACCTGCCCACAAGGATTTAAAAGTGTGATCATATAGTATTTTCTTTCAACAAACACAGTTATTTTATTGGGGGGGTAGATAATTATGACATTCATGAAGGTGTTAAACTTCTAGATGGCCAGTTTTACAGTATTATTTATAGAGGTAACGTAGATTGTAACTGTGGGCTCATAGAATAACACCACAGAAGGTATTAAGAAGGAAGTCTCAGGTGGCTGGTGTGAGCGGTTCAGCTTACCTTGTGATCTTTGCCCACAAACTTGAAGACGGGAACCTGGAAGTGCTTTGCTAGGTGATCCCGTGATGTATACTGCTTTACTGAGTCATCTGAAACACAGCTAAAAGTAGGACAGGAGAGCACGTAAGACTTGATTGTTTAAGCAGAGGTGGAAAAACAATCCAGTCCAATGTGCTTGGTCCAAGGAGAGGGAAACTGGGTGGAGGAGGCTGGGCTGCACTCAGGCTTTTTGAGAATGAAGGAAAAATGAAATTCCTTTCAGACCCAGCCCTGCTCATGGGCACTGTCTGTCACAGCTATCATTCACTGTACCCACAAACTGGGCACAAGGACCTCCATTTAAGTCAATGTATTGAAGTATTAGCAGCAACAGCAACATTTATTTCTAAGATAACTTTTGACAAAGTTATCTTTGTAAGGTTGTATTTTAATTTGCAAGATATTGCAGGAATTCTGCAATCACATCCTTTATTATTGGTTTGAGAAGGCTTTTCTTTAATTGGAGTTCATAAATATTTATGAATACCTAATACATAGTTACTCCTGAAGGGGATTCAAGGGTGAGCAAACCCCAATTTGTGCATCAAAGAGCTGCATAAAGATCCAAGCTTCTTCGAGAATAAATAACTGGTTCTGTTGGGGGAAAGTCATTCACTCAAAATTGTTTTAATCCCTCTTTTTCCGAATTTAGTACTAAATTGTAGCTTGACAGGGTTTTGAGATTTTAATCTCAGATCTACAGGGTTAGTTGGGGGAAGAAGAGTATTACGGATTTTCTGGTTTGAGGCCAAGGTTTAGTATTTCTGAAGCTTTTTTCCTTAAAGGTTAAAGGCCATGGATCACACCTGTACTATCTTCTTCATTCTGAATTCTAAATGAATTTTTTTCTAAGTATATTTTTCTTTCTATGGATACCAATAGTTTCCATCTACCAGGCCAGGAAAAAAGTGGGGATCAGATATAAAAGCCTGTGAGACTGGATACTTGCCCCATGTGCTAACGGACCACTTTCTAGTTCTTTAATTGCTCTTTCAGTGCAGTTGAAAAAATCCAATAAAGTTGTTTAAAAGGCATCTTGACTTGTATTATTACTATTATCTTATTCCTCTGAACTGAAGAGGATCTAAATATATAATGTGGTTTCTGTTATTTCTTGCATTTATGTATTTATTTTCATTTTCCTTAAGTAAAATTAATTTCTACTGTCTTCCAATGATGTGCTACGGTAAATCCTGTTAAACATCTAATCTGTGCAACACACTCTGCTGGGTGCTGCGGGAGGGTATAAAGATGAATAATATGGTCTATGAAATCAAAGAGTTTATACTCCAATATTTATAATAATACCACTAGTAATGTAATATTAAAATGGCACTTTCATCTAAGTGGCTCAGCATTTTAAATTTATCTAAAAATAAATGACTGACTATAGGGTGGGGAACTGGGAATAAAAAAATAAAAAGGATTGAGATGTGCTTACAGACTACAATACACACTGAATTTCAAACACTTAGCAGGAAATGCAAAATATCTCACTAATCATTTTTTATTGATTAGATGTTAGTATAATAATATTTTGGAGATATTGGGTAAATAAAATACACTATTAAATTTAAATATGAGTAAAAATACTATTATTTTTCTTTAAAAGAGAAAATGAAGCAGAAAGAGCTGCTCCTAGGCAACATATTACAGAATAGAACCCCAGAAAAATTCTGGATTTTGATTTGCTGTTTGCTGTGATTGAACAATTTAGTTCTGTCAACTTCAAATTAATGGGCTATAAAAAAAAATGATGATATATGATAATCCAAAGAAACTGATTATGCAAAAGTTGCCCAATATTTGATTTTAGAAATTAATATGTTTCTTTTTATGGAGATTAACTTTCTAATTCCACTTTGCCTTGGTTGGTATTAAATTATTTTGCATTCTCAGAGCATATGCCAACTAATACTAGAGGGCAGTGAATCAGATGTGTTAAATATCAAGGGAAACCAGACTCATTTAAATTTAAGCCGAGGACAATAAATCATCAAACAACTTATTGATGTAAGTAAACTGCATTATGTTTATTTAAGGCTCTGCTATTATGATAAATACTCATTGTATAATTCATCAGGCAAACACTCAATGATCCTCACTATAAGCTAGGCATTGAGGAGGAAGGAGAAAGAAGGTTTCTAGTTCCTGCTGGAAGGAATCAAGGAAGACTTCATGGAGGAAATAAACCTCATGGAATCTTGAAGAACCAGTAAAAATCACACATAAAGAAAATGGGAAGATTTCAGGCAGAGGAAACAGCAGGTGCAGAGTTCAGAGGGTACAAGTAACAACGGAGTCTGGAACTTGCTCATAGTTCCCTTTGACGTGAGTGGAAGGTAGAGGCACAGTGAGCCGGGCTGAGGGCTGGGTTTTATGCTGAGGCATTAGCTCATAGGCACCATTACTGTAGTACCCATGACTGTCCCGGAGACAGGACTATTTGCCTGTACTAAATAAGCCTACACTGCTGTGTTTTTCAGTTCTTGCCTCTACTTTTTAAGCATTGTAATTTCTTCCACAACTTTTTATTTTCTGCTCTGTATATGCTGAGGGCTGGAAAATGAAATAGTACAGCTTCTTAGAACTGCTTAAAATAAAAGATGCCCAAAGGGTCTGAACAATGAATATACAAATAAACTTCACAAGTTTTATTAAGATTGCAGGTTACATGATTTCCCAGTGAGTTATTATGATTGTATATTTATATTTGCAAAAGTAAATATGAGGGTCAAAAGGAAACTCTTGATGTTAGAGAAATGTTAATTATTTTCACCATATTGATAGTTTCATGTGTACACATCATAACTTACCAAACTGTACACTTTAAATATGTATCATTTACTCTATGTCAATCGTACACCAATAAAGCTGTTTAAAAAAATTAAAAAGAAACCAAAATGCACTCTCTCGCTAGAAGTAAATCAATTCCCTGATCTACTTAGCATTAAATATATGATTAAAAAAATAAATTAATTAAATATGATGCTTCTACTTTTTCTTTTAAAATTTTCTGGAGATTACTTTAAGAGGGCAATGAATCCAAAGGACTATAGGTCCCTGGGAGACCTACTACTAGTCATCTAAAGCAGCTAAGAGTGACCATTACCCATATTCTAAAAACACGCTAAGGAGACTGACTACAGGAATCTGAGGCTAGAAGCATTCCTGCTGGTAAACAGTTACATTTATTAAGCAAAGGAAATCAAGAGCCATTAGAAAATTTTCCAGCTTCTGGTGAAGATGGAGGTGTAGATAAACACAGCTCTCTCCTCTTTGCAGAACCACAGCAAAAATTACGACTAAACTGCAAAACAACTATCACCCAGAATTGTCAGAAAATTGAGCTGTATGGAAGTCTGACAGCCAAGGAATTAAAGAAGCTACATTCATCCAGATGGGTAGGAGGGACAGAAATGCATAATGGGCAGTCCCACACCCATATGTGGTAGATAAAAATTGGGAGGAATACCTTAGGAGCAAGGGATCCCAGTCCCAGGGGACCCGACCACCCAGCCTAGGATTCCATTGCCAGGAAAATAATTCACCATAACTTTTGGCTGTGAAAACCAGTGGGGGTTGGAGTGGTGGAAGAAACTGTGGGATTCTCAGGTTTCTCCTCTTAAAGGGCCCACAAGGGACTTAGGACTTACACAGATTCACTCCCTCTGGGCTCCAGCAATGGGGCAGCAGCTGGAAGGGCACCAGTGGCATGCGGGGAGAAGGGTGTGGCATCAGGGCAAGTGCTGGGGGGCAGCTTCCTCTTGAACAAAACTCCAAAGGCCAGGCAGCAGCCATAGTCCCCTTTTTGAGCCCTCCCCAACACAGAGCCACAGAGCAACAACACCATATCTGAGTCTCCATCAGCCCGGTTCACACAGGTTGCCCTGCCCTGGCAATTACCTAAGGCTCCATCCCATCTGACTTACAGATGCACTTTTCTATGATAGGACACACCACTAATACAGGGAGTCAAAGCAGCTTTATCTAATGCATGGAAACAAACACAGGGAGGCTGCCAAAATGAGGAGACAACGAAATATGGCCCAAATGAAAGAATAGAACAAAACTCCAGAGAAAGAACTAAATAAAATGGACATAAGTGATCTATCAGATTCAGAGTTCAAAGCACTGGTTATTAAGATGCTCAAGAAACTCATTGGGTACTTCAACAGCATAAAAAAAGACCCAGGCAGAAATGAAGGTTACACTAAGTGAAATAAAGAAAAAATTACAGGGAACCAACAATGGAGTGGATGAAGCTGAGAATCAAATCAATGATTTGGAACATAAGGAAGAATAACCCATTCAATCAGAACAACAGGAAGAAAAAGAATTAAAAAAAAATAAGGATATGGTAAGGAGCCTCTGGTACAACTTCAAATGTACCAACACTTGAATCATAGGGGTGTGGGAAGGAGAAGAGAAGGAGCAGGAAATTGAAAACGTATTTGAAAAAATAATGAAAGAAAACTTCCCTAACTTGGTGAAAGGAATAGACATGCAAGTCCAGGAAGCACAGAGAGTCCCAAACAAGTTGGACCCAAAGAGGACCACACCAAGATACATCTTAATTAAAATGCCAAAGATTAAAGATAAAGAGAGAATCTTAAAAGCAAAAAGAGAAAATCAGAGTGTTACCTATGAAGAAGTTCTGATAAGACTGTCAGCTGATTTCTCAAAAGATACTTTACAGGCCAGATAGGACTGGTAAGAAGTATTCAAAGTGATGAAAAGCAAGGACCTACAACCCAGATTACTCCATCCAGCAAAGCTGTCATTTAGAAGTGAAAGGCAGATAAAGTGCTTCCCAGACAAGGTAAAGCTAAAGGAGTTCATCATCACCAAGGCTTTATTATATGAAATGTTAAAATGACTTATTTAAGAAACAGAAGATCAAAACTATGAACATTAAACTGGCAATAAATTCACAACTGTCAACAATTGAATCTAAAAAACAAACTAAGCAAACAAACAAAACAGAAACAAAATCATAGATATGGAGATCATTTGGAGGGTTATCAGTTGCGAGAGGGGAGCAGGAGAATGGGGGGAAATGTGCAGGGTTAAGGAGTACAAATTAGTAGGCATAGAATAGACAGGGGATTGTTAAGAACAGTATAGGAAATGGAGAAGCCAAAGGACTTACATGCAGGCATTTACAATTCAATATTGTTATTTGGAACCATCATATTCAATATTTTAACCTCAAATCTGCTTTTCTACTTATATCCTTTTTGTCTTGATTAATGACATCTAGGCAGTCTTCTGAGTGAGACCCCTTGCAGTCATTTTAACTCCCTTGTCCCTCACCAGTTTTCACCTCCAAAATGTCATAAATGGTTTCTAAACTAATTAAGAGCTCACAAGAATGCCACATTATTTGGGGAAAATACTGAGTGTACTTGTGCACCTAGAGGTCAGATGTGAACTGGGAGTAATAAACCCTTGAAACAGTGTAATTACCCATCCCGGATAAGGTAGTACTTCAGGATCTCGTCAATCTTGGAAGTGGGTGTGGCAAAACAGCTCTCCACCAGGCTTTCTAAGCCATTCACGTGCACCAAGGGCTCAATCCCAAAGTAGAGGGAGTCTCGAAGCTTGAGGGTGGGCAAAGCTTCCCGGTAAGGCTCTTCAAACTCATTGTCCTTGAAGATCTCCAGAGTGAATGGGAAGGTTCCATGACTGCGGCCCATGATTTCCAGTGGGGCATTTCGAAGGTTGGGCACGTATCCTTCAGAAATTGTGTACAGGCGCGGAAACTCGCAGGTCACTGGGATCAGCAGTTTGCTGGTTCGGATGATGATGTCCCCGCTGCTTCCTGGAGTCTGCTTGGGTAGACCTGTCACAAGGTTGCTAGCCACAATCTTGTCATTCACCACCTGAGCCGGGCCAGGGCAAAGACAGGAAAGAGATTTTACATCTGTTTCTACAAAGGTTTTTTTCCCTCCTGATAAGCATAACAATCTCCAACCCTCAAAACACATTAGTGATTTTCTTGCTGAAGCCTGAAGTTTTTAAATTTTTTTTATGTACTGTTTCATGTTCAACCCACGCATTCCTTTGGAATATTACTCATAAAACCTGAGCTATGCAGAATTAGCAATTCAAAGTTCTTATGTTTTAGAAAAGAACAGCTTCTGTATATTATTTTTTCTGTAATCCTAGGCCTGGTGATCAGGCTGCAGTATGACCTTGTGCTGAACTCATCCACATGCAGAACTTTAGCTGTCACATTTGACACATAATTTTCAATTCATTATGTCTAGACTCACCTGTTCCCCTGTGCACCAGAAAATGACTCATCATGGGCATTTCCATGTTATTATCCACAGATATAATAAGCATAACTTGCCTAAAGTGGGGCCAACTTCTCTTTGAATATCCCCTCCAAACCTCACCACAAGTCTAATAGCTCTCTGATTTTCTTTTAGTCAGATTCAATAAATAATTATAAGTTTAATCAAATTATCACAAGGGCCTCTGCACTGATCCCCAAGATCCAGGTCCTCTTTTTGCCATTCATCTTGCACACTTCGATTTCATCATGACTGTGCCAGCCTAACCCCAAACACCTCCCCCTCACACACAAGGTGAATCTCTGGAAGCTTAGTCTCTTTCCCAGCTTTCTTTTCCAATATGAATTCCTAGCCTGTCAGGCTGCATCACCCATTCACCTCAGCACAAGCTTAAGTGCTCCACTGCTGGGACTCACTCATTTGTTTCCCAGCTGAAATGCCCTATTTTTTCCTCTCTACCTGTATACGAGGTAAACTACACACATGCTTCCACCCCAATTCAAGTCCTACTTGTCTTGGCTGCTCCATTGTTTTCCCTTTTCTGGCTTCCTACAGCACCTGTCACCTGGATCACTATCTCCTTCTTATATTCTGTGTGTATTATCATCTCGATACTGCTGTATATGTTTCTAAAAATGAGAAATCTTATTTCATGTATCCCTGAGACTCCCCAGCACAGGGATGTGCACAGATTTTTGGATGAAGGTATAAACCTTTTACCTCCACCTGGTTCAATACTTGAACTCATTTGCTAGCTCATAAATGGACCACCACCTATCTCAGTCAATTTCTTCAAGTAAAATTATACTGTTGCTGATATACTCGGGAAAATGTCTACACATATGGGAGAGACTGGGCTATGTGAGAATAGAAATAGTAGAATTGGCCTTAACTTCCTATCCTCACAGTGCCAGGACTGTAGACAGATGCTCAATAACACATTTGTTAAATGAATGGCATTTGATTTTTTGAAATCCATTCTTTCCCATGGAAAGACTTCATCTAGGACACAAGCCATACCACATACCTCTGTCAACTACCTCCCAAATAACTGACTTTTGATCATCCCCCAAGTGTCTTCCAGGAGGAACCTACACCGACAACTGTGCCACATGTCTTGAGGGAGAAGACAATGTTGACGTGGGTGCCATTGGACACTCCTCGGCAGGAGGCGTTGGTCAGGAAGAGCTCCAGCCCACCGACCAGGTCCCTGGGGATGCTCACTTCAACAGTGCTGGACTTGCACAACACGGGGACTGTGGCAGAAAGGGGCTGCTGTTAGAACTGAGAAGCCTGAATGGGGGAGAAGTAGAAGGAAGGCTTCGAGAAGAAATAATTTCATCATCATGTAACAAGCTTTTTGTTCTAGCCCCCAGGAAATCTATGAGGTTCAAAACAAGCTGGTGAATAAAACCAGGACTCCTAAGTCCCAAGGTTGTGGTCAAATAATGCTCTTGAAATATGTCATTCCAGAATGGGAAATATTGCGTTCAAGTTTCAATTCAAGAGACATTTATTTTTTTAAAGTGTGGCTAGCATAACTCCATGAAATGAAACACCCAAAGGATTAACTTTTAGTGCAAACACAATTTATTGGCAACACAGAAAAACTACTGCTTTGATAAAGCCTTAAATTATATAATGGCCCTGCTTTGACTTCACTGTTAATTACTGCTCCATAAAACAGGTAATAAAAGCAGTGTCAGCACGCTTGGGGAAGAGTTCCAAATTGTCTTTTCATTGTTCACTACCATAAACCCTGACTATAAATTCTACTTTAACTTAATATAAAAAGATTGCTTTTCCTCAGTGTTCCCTTGTTCTCTTCTTTAGACACTAAAATACCCTGAAAGGAATACTTATAGGTACTACCAGAAAATATGTGAGAATATCAATATTTGAGGCTATATCATAAAAATTATACAGTAAAAATAAATCAGGGATAATTGCTTATTAAATATTTACTAGATGAATGAATTAATGAATTAACATAAACAACTATATTTCCAGAAAATAGTTTTTGGAGGATTGTTGATGCTAGTATTGTAAGTGTAGAGAGAAGAATCAGTTCTCTAGGGCTTTGAATTTGGTTTTATGACCCAATAATCTGTTAGAAGACAGAAGAACTGCATTCAATGTCTTACACTTCTAAATTGAGTATTAGTTATACAATTAGTAAAATAAATTAGAGAAAAAACTCAAAGGTAAAAAAGCAAGGAAACCAAATGATTCAGCAATCCCATTTTTGGATGTTTATCCAACAGAATTAAAAGAAGAATCTCAAAAAGATATTTGCATACCCATGTTCATAGCAGCACTGTTCACAATTGTCAAGTGGTAGAAGCAACCCAAATATCCATCAACAAATGACTGAATAGGAGAACCAAGATGGCAGAGGAGTGAGTGGAAATCACACTGACCTCCTCCCAGGACCAACCTGGAATTACAACTAAATTGTGGAGAAATCACCTGGAACAAACAACTGAACAACAGCAAAAGAGGAGCCTTTTAACCTCAGACAGACAGAAGAATCAGTTTTAGCACAACCTAACTAGTGAGGAGTGTGGTAGAGACTGCAGAAGGTGGGTGGGGTGCCCACAGGAGGCAGCACCAAAAGGATATTGAATCAGCCAGTTGGATCCGCCTGAGAAGAGCAGGGTCTAAACCATAAGCAGGAATCTCCAGCCTACAGCACCAGAACCCAAAAAGTACAAAGATAACAGCTGAGCTGTGAAAAGCAGCAGGGTTGCCCTCTGGAGAGAGAGGCAGCTGGAGATGCAAATAACCATTTAAAGGGCCAACACATAAATTTTTATTTGCAGCCACTTACTCTGGGCTCCAGCAAAGACAGGGACAGAGTGGGTTGGAGATGCTGAGGAGACACTGGGGAGGGAGGCTTTAGGGAGAGAACTGAGAGAGTAGCCGGGGGGAACCCAGTGCTGACTCATCACCCATATGGCAGTAGCCATCTGGCTCAGGGAGACCACTCCCCTGAGCAGCAGCAGCGTCAGAGGACCCAATAACCCCACCCCCAGGAAGGACTCTGAGTGCAGCAGGCCTAGGTTAATAGCTGAAGGAGAGAGCCACAGACAGTAGGTCCCTGGAAGTGTGGAACAGACTGCCTAAGGTCAGACAGGGTCAACATCTGACATCATCAGAGGCAGATCCAGAGAGGGAAAAAAAAAAAAAAAATGGTGGTCTCCCGCCATAGAAGTTCACACCACAAAGTTAGGAAATCAGGACAGATCAATTTAAGAGGCAGAAGCAAAAGAGAAGAGCCCCACAAATAATGGGAAGACAAAGAAATATGCCCCACTTGAAGGGAAAGGAGGAATTCCCACAAAGAAAACTAAATGAAATAGAGGCAAGTAAACTATCAGATACTGAGTTCCAAACAACAGTTCTAAGGAAGCTCAATGAGTTCAGTGAGCTCAGAGAGAATTACAAAAAACTACAGGGAAACTATGAGGCACTTACTGCAAACTATATCAGCATGAAAAAGGACATAGAAACTATCAATAAGAGACAAAAGGAAATGAAGAATACAATTTCTGAATTGAAGAACACAGTAGAAGGAATCAAAAGCAGGCTAGAAGAAGCAGAGGATCAAATCAATGAGCTGGAGGACAAGGTAGAAAAAAGCTCCCAGAAAGAGCAAGAAAATGGAAAAAGACTCAAAAAGAATGAAGAGGCATTGTGGGAAATGCAAGACAACCTGAAATGTGATAATATCCATATAATAGGAATACCAGAAGGAGAAGAAGAGGAGCAAGGAATAGAAAACCTGTTTGAAAAAGTAATGATGGAAAACGTCCCTAGTTGGAGGAGAGAAAAAGTCACACAAGTCCAGGGAGCTCAGAGGGTCTCATTCAAGAGGAACCCAATGAGGCCCATTCCAAGACACATCATCATTAAAATGGCAAATATCAAAGGCAAACAGAGAATCCTAAAGGAAGCAAGGGAGAAAGAGGTAGTAACTTATAAGGGAGTTCTGATACAGTTAGCAGTTGACTTCTCAACAGAAACACTGCAAGCCAGAAAGGAATGGCAAGAAACATTCCAAGTCATGAAAATATTCCAGGGCCTGCAACAAAGACTGCTCTACACAACAAAGCTCTCAATTAAAAGAGAAGGCAAAATAAGGAGGTTCTCCAACAAAAGAAGGTTAAAAGAATACATCTCCACCAAATCAGCATTGTAAAATATGCTAAAGGGACTGCTTTAAAAAGATGAAAAAAAGCGTCTATGAATACCCAGTTCCTTTCACAGTCACCAGTACTTGATATTACCAATATTTTTAATACTTAGTAATCTGATTGTGACAATGATGTGTTATTTTAATTGATACTTTATTATTGGTTAAAACTAAACCTGTTTTTGTATATTTCTTGCCAATTCCTATTATTTTTAAAAAGCTTTAAATGACTTTTTGGTATTTTTTATCCATTTTTTGGTTAAAGATTTGTAGAATTTTTGCCCTAAAAAAACAAATGAAAAAAAAACCCCTATTAACCCTTTTTTAGATATGTTGTTGATAATTTCCTATTCTATTACTTGTCCTTTAACTTTTTTTATAGGTATATTACCATAAAGCCTTAAATGTTTAATGTAGTCATATTGTCAATATTTTACTTTATAGCTTCTGGGTTTGAATATGTTACTTCAGGGTAAGAAAAATATTATTTTTAATTTTCTCCTAAAACTCCTTAGATTTTACATATTGATTTTTAACTCACCTGAATATTTCTTGTATAATGTGTAAAATAGGGCTCTATATTTGTTTTATTACCAGTAATAGTGGTCCATGCACCTTATTGGTTGAATAAGCCTTATTTTCTCCATTGATTTGAAATATAAATTTAATCATATATTTCATTGTTAGACAGATATATTTACATTTGTTTCTAGAATGCTCATTTTATTTCATTGATCTACTTGATTTTTTCTGTATTGGTGTCATATTGTTTTAATTGCTGAGACTTTATAATGGATTTAAATTTTTTAATATTTTATAATGAATCTTGACATTTAAAAAGTAAATAAATAGAATCAATCTGCATTTTAAAAAAAGAAAGAAAGAAGGATCTCCTACCTTTTGCAACATCATGGATGGAACTGGAGAATATTATGCTAAGTGAAACAAGCCAGTCGGTGAAAGACAAATACCATATGATCTCACCTATAAGTGGAATCTAGTCAACAAAATAAACTAATGAACAAAAGAAACCACAGACATGTAAACATAGAGTGGACTGAAAGTGACCAGAGGGCATGGGGAAGGAGGACAATGGTGGAAAGAAGGAGAAGGGACTAAACAAATAACATGTATGAAGGATCCATGGATACGGACAACAGAGTAGGAAATGACTGTGGGTGAGGGGGGCAGGGTGGGATGGGTGAAAGAGGGCAAAGGGGGAAAAACAGACAACTATAACAGAATAAACATGATTTAAAAATAAAACAAAAACAAAATGACTGAATAAACAAAATGTGATATATCCATACAATGGAATATTATTCAATCTTATAAAGGAAGGAAATCCTACCATATGCTACAACATGGGTGACTCTTATGGCCATATGCTAAGTGAAATAAGTCAATCACAAAAAGACAAATACTGTAGGTTGAGGGGGAAGGGAACAGGAAGTTGTTTAATGGGTACAGAGTTTCAGTTTTGCACAGTGAAAAAGTTCTGGAGATCTGTTACACAACAGTATAAATATATTCAACACTACTGAACTATAAACTTAAAATTGGTTTAGATGGTAAATTTTATGTTATATATTTTTTACCACAATTTTTAAAACAGCAAAGTGAAATCAGTTTTATGGTAATCTTTTCTCATGAATCTTCTCCTTTGAATGATTCCAAAATGAAGAGGCAGGGATGCATACTACTGAAAGAGCTGGCGTTCTAAAAGATCTGGACACACCTGAATGAGAAAGGTAGGGAGACTCGGGGTGGTGGGGGAGAAGTATGACTCAGACCAGAAGTCCAGCCCATGTATGCACTACCTTGGCAAGTGTGATTATCCTCAGATAGCACCAAGCCCCGGGGACATTCACACTGATAGCCCCGTTCAGACACCAGGCAAGAATGACTGCAGCCACCGTTGTTATTGTGGCATCCTTCAATGTCTGTAATAGAAACAAAAAGAAAAGGGAATGATTTTGGAGCCCTCTTCCCCCAAAATTCTGGTTTTTGAGATGGCACTTTGCATCCAGGCTTATACTTAACATATCACAGTATCTCTGGGCTTAACAGTCACTGAGATATATAGGAAAGCCCACAAAATATATTTAATGTTATATGTTATATATTATAATGTTAAATGTTATAGCTACAGAAATCAATCTTACAATATTCACAGCGCTACCCACTTAAGCTGGTCATTTTGTAAAACGCCCTTGAATCTGGATTTGTCTGTTTTTCTCTGTGTAGTGGGGAAAGAAGGCCCAAAAGTCATTTCTTAATTGCTGTAATACTTAATTTATCCAATTCAAAATTTTATAGAGTATTACTGATGCAAAAGGGACAGAATACAAATTCAACTGGACCAGCTTCAGGGGTGTCCAACTTTTTTGGCGTCTCTGGGCCGCACTGGAAGAAGAGTAGTCTTGGGTCACACATTAAATACACAAACACTAACAAAAACAAAAACAAAAATCTCATAATGTTTTAAGTAAATTTACGATTTTGTGTTGGGTAGCATTCATAGCCATCCTGGACCACATGCAGCCGCAGGCTGCGGGTTGGACACCCCTGAATGGATCAGCTAGTTGCCAGTTGGTTGGATCACCAGGCCTTCTCCTCAAATAGGTAGATGGGGTATGAGTCTTGGACTGATGGCACTCTATAAAAATGAGGCCTGGACAACACACTAAGAGAGTGTACTCACTCAAGATCTTTGTGATATTTCTCTTATGAAGTAGGATTTTAAAGTTTCCTTTTTAAAAGTTTTGCATTTTCAAAAAGCATAATCAAATGAACACGAAGGAAAGATATTCAATTGAAAACTGAAGAAACTACCACATGATTTCATAGTAAAGAAAAATGACCTTTGTGGGCTCTGGAGTTTATTTCTAGGTCAGGGATCATCCAACTCTGACCTGCTATATGTTGTTGTAAATAAAGTTTTATTATCACATAGCCATGCCTATTGATTTACATATTGTTTATGGATGCCTTCTCACTACACAGACAGAGCTGAATAGCTTCAACAGATGGTCCACAAAACCTAAAATTTACTATTTGGTCTATACATAAAAATTTTGCTGACTCCTGTGCTAAGAGTAAGATAATAAAAGGGAGTGTTTTCAAATCATCCAAGATGCTCAAGAAAAAATATAAACTGATTTCCAGTTATAACAATAACTCAGTTCAATAATAGTAAAATAATTGGTTCTTCAGAACATCAGTAAATTAACTTGGGATGAGTTAATTTTTGTGAAACATACAGAGAGAATAAATTTTCAATGAGTTAATATTTTTAAACTTGAGAGAAAATAAGCTATCACCTGTTTATAAATCTGTGTAATTAAATATGATAAAAGTATCCCCATGGGTTTTTGAAATAGCTAAAATAATATATAACAATGTAGAAGAAAGCACAAAAATATGCTGTAAGATGTTAAAATCAACAGTAATAGGAATTTTTTTTCTTAAAAATGATCTTCCTTAAGTCATTTAATTTCTCTGATGTTAGTTTCAGTATTTATAAAATGAAGGATTGGGCATGTTCATTCAGGTCTAAAACTGGAAAGAACAAAATAAATTGAAATTCTAAGTTGTCTTAAAGGATTTAAATAAGAAGATGCACCAAAATATTTAGAACGAATATATCTGGCAGGTGTGATTGAGGGTCATTTTAGTTATGTCTTTTATTCCTCTGAGGGTCATTTTAGTTATGTCTTTTATTCCTCTGTGTTTTCTTCTATCAACTTTCAAAACAAAACAATAGATATTACTTAAAAATTAAAAAGTTTTTTATTTTTAAAAAGATGCAATTATCCAACAGACTAGCTAACGAAACAAATGTGGATTACCAATAAAACTTAAGGATTACAAATATGAATCTTATTCATAAAGTGGAATTCATATATAAATTTTATCTTCTGCTAAAATATTTTTCAGTTCTTCGGCTTGAAAATTTAATGAGCATTAATTGTAATATTTCCAATAAAATTCTCATGAACATTTACCAAAGTTCCTCATGCAGCATTTCATTAATATTCAAATATGCAAAGATTATTGCATAAAATAATTAAGATTTAAGGAGAATTCAGGACATTACTATTATCCAATAAAATTTAAAGTAGTTTAATATTCTGGTTAATGGTCTCAGGTAATAATGCAAACTTTGTTCCATAAAATAAATTGTGGGTACCAGTAATAATGTTTCCTTTTGGGGTAGTATCTTATTATTTTGAGCATAACTAGAATAAAGTAAACTCTTGTAAGCAGTATTACAACTCTATTATGCCACCTATTCAATTATCCATGGGGAAATCACATGTCCTTTATTATAATAATAATAATAATAATAATAAATCTGTTTATATCTTTGTATAATCTGCCAACAATTGGGTTTTTATCCCCTCACTTCCAAATGTCATGAGATTCAGACGAAAGTAGAAGTGTTCAAATTATAGTTGTGATTATTTGCAAGGGCAAAATGTGCCTTAGAGAAGGGACGTCATCTAAGTTTCATGTATAATAGTAAACAATTTCCATTTCAATTATTTACCATACATTACAAATTCTTTTTATTATTTAATCATATAAAATGTATAAAGCAGTTTTACTATTAGAAATAGATAGTTTTACTCATCTCCAAACAATGTGTTAATCTTCAATAAATGAGGGGTAAAATAGCTTCATGTAAATCAGTTCCCCAAAACAGGTAAAAATGCAAACTCTTAAAGGCGCATCCTGCTCCAGCGAACCAGGGTCTCTGGGAGTGAGACCCAGAAGGGCCAGGTTTAAAAACACCCAGGTGATGCTCCTCAGCAGGAGAGTCTGAGAAAAATTGCTGTAAACCATTTGTTATGTTAGCTCCAGGTGTGCTCCTCGGAGTCAAAGCATAGGTGTCACCTTGAAGTTAGTTATTTAGAATTGCAGTATCTTAGCCTGACCCCAGACCTACCAAATCAGAATCTGCATTCTAACAAGATCCTCGGTGACTCATGAGCACATTAAACTTTGAGAAACACAGAACACCTATTTTAATTTTCCAAGTTAAAAGGTGGCTCTTTACCTCTTACCAAGTGCAACTCCCTCCTGTGAAATCTTGGAGACAAAATTAACAGTGAATTCTATCTGCAAGGGTCCTCAATGATAATGAACCCCTTCTGTCATTTCCTTACATAGTCAAACTGTTACTCTCATCTAACATTGGGCCGTTTCATGAACATCAAAGAATAAGCTAATGGCTTGGTCTGGGCTCTTGATTTGAAACCCTTCTTACGCATTCTTACCTTCACAAGTCCTGCCATCACTTCTTAGCACACGGCCAACCCCACACTCACAGCGAAATGAATTTTTGAGGTTTACACAGATCTCACTACAGCCGCCATTGTTTTGTTCACATTCATTTACATCTGTAGAAAAGAAGCCACACCATTTACGTTCTGCTGAGCAACTCGATCTTTTTAACCCACTTAGCAGAATCTCCCTGTCTTTCCAGATCACACTTTCTACAGCTCAACTCCTTCTTTGAGATCCAGTATAATCACTTCTATCAACCTGAGCGCCTCAACCAAGTTATTTTCTATCTGCCTTCCGCTGGAGTGGAAGGCACCTGCTTGCTTACCAATTCCCTCCTAAGGGCAAAAATGTGAGGAAATAAAGTCCCCCCCCCCCCCCCGCTTTTTTTTTTAACCTGGGTTCACCTATTTATTTGCATTGGTGAATCTCACTTTCTCGATGAGTTCCTGAAGATTTTCTAAATAAATACAGACTTATTAACCAAACTGCATTTTAAATGCATTAAATGAACTTACATTGTAGAAGAAACCATCTGACTAAATTTTTGAGGCAGTCTTCTGCCATACATGAACAACTGTCCTCAAAATCTCTTTTAAATATTGGAATATTCTCAGATTGTACTTAAACAATAATTGTTAAGTCATTTTAACAAGCTGATGAAAGATAGGGACCCTTGCTGTAAAAACAAAACAAAAGCACAATTGGCAACTAATGTCGATCACCTTCCTTCTATAAACAAAGGAAAGGAAGCTTGAGAGCTAGATTTGTCATGGTGTGGACATAAGACCTAAGTCAGGGACTGGGGTTTAAACACCATGAGGTGACAGGAAACATGGTCTTGGGTCCAGGAGAGGAGATGAGCTGGAACTAAAACCATGTTCAGGACCCTGGCAAAGGTATCCCCAAAATGAAATGGAGCAGAAGATCTTTGCTCTGAGGCTCAGGGGAGCAGTAAGGAAGCTCTCTGCCTGAGGTTCTAGAAGAGAAAAAGCCAGCCCTGTCATGGTTGAAGTATTAATTTACACTTCACACATCGTGTGGGGATTAGAAGCTGAGAAATTGATGTAAAATTTGGCCTGAACTGGTGAAACTTCTGTGATGCCTGACAGAAGCATCTGAAGTTCATTGTAAAACTTCCACAAATCGGGTAATAAGATTAGAGGACCCCACCCCAATAAAATGATTACATCAGAAGATGGTTCATTGTAAGACATTAAAAATGAGGAAATGATCCAATATAAGAGGGAGTTGACAAGATAACAAACAGGAGGCTTTGAACTGGACATAAACATAATAATCTAGAAAAATCCATACACAAGCCTTTTAAAAAATCACCATAAAGATTAAAAAAAGGGTAGGAAACAAAATAAAGGTGTAAAAGGACAAAATAGAACTGAGAACAAACATGTAGAACTTAAAATATATAGTCATATAGTCAACAAGATTAGAATCTTCAGTGAGTGGGAAGCGGGGCTGGCAGCCCCCGCCCCCTCCCCGGGTGTGGCCGCGCCAGTGCTTGGGGCCAGGCCTCTGTGTTAAGCCTGGATTGCTGACCTTGAGACTGATTTTTTTATGTGAAGGAGAAATAAGCTTCTTCTTATTTAAGCCATTGTTATTTGGGATCTATTGCTTTTTTACAGCCTGACTTAGATACTATACCCCAGCAATTTCACTTTTGTGGGTATGTTCTATAGAAAATCTCACACATGGGGTAAGGTGTAATTTTTATGTGAGTCATAAGAACACACAAAACAATGGTATATATTGTTATGGGTACGTACATAAGTAATAAAAGCATAAAAACAGGAACCAGAAGAAAAAGTACTAACTTTGAAACAGTGATTCCCCCTGGAGGTTAAGAGAGGAAAAGGAGATGGAGTGAGATGACTTTGCTGGTATTTGTAAAAGTTTATTTTCAAAAAGAAAGAAAAACTTAACTATAGTCAAATCTGTATATATGAGTGTCTGTTATATTTTCCTGTACTCTTCTTTCTGCCTGAAAAAAAAATACATAATTTAAAATAAGTAACTAAAATTACATTACATTTTTTTAAAAAAAACTAGGGAAATATTGACACATGCACATAAACATAAAGCTTGCCTCTAATTTTAGAGAATTCATGATCTCCCTGAAACAGATAGACAGACTGCAGGTAGGAACTGGGGACTTCTCCCTATGTACTGATAGGCAAAGATGTCCAAGATAAATTGTTAAGCAGAGACATGGATGGTATGTATGATATTCAATGTTTGGTGTAAAAAAGGGAGTCAATAAATAAATGTATATTTGGATTTTTATATCTGCCTGAAGAATGCATAAGAAAATAACACAAGAGACTTCTGGTCAAAATGGAGGCGCAGATAAACACGCCTTGCCTCCATGCCCAATAATAGCAAAAAATACAGCTACACTACAAAACAAATATTACCCAGAATTATGAAAAAATCAGGCATGTGGAAGTCTGACAACCATGGATTTAAAGAAGCCACATTCATCCAGACGGGTAGGAGGGACCAAGACACGGAGAGGCGTGGAGGTGGGAATGGGCAGTCCTACATCCGCATGTGGTGGATTCAAAATGGGAGGGACACCTTGGGAGTGAAGGATCCCAGCCCCAGTCCAGACCATCCAGCCCAGGGTCTCAGCACCAGGAAGATAAGCCTCCATACTTCTGGCTGTAAAATCCAGTGAGAGTGCGGCAGCAGAAGAAACCATGTCCTCTTAAAGGGCCTGCAATGGACTTAGGACTCATATAGACCCACCCCCTCTGGGATTCAGCACCAGGGTAACAGCTGGAAGGGCACCAGTGGCAGGTGGGGGAAAAGAGAAGTGCAAGTGCTCAGAGATCACTTCCCCTGAGGAAAACTCCAGAGGCCAGGCAGTGGCACTGTCCCCTCTATGAGCCCACCCCTACACAGAGCAACAGAGCAGTGACACAGGTTGCACCGCCCTGGCAATTACCTAAGTCTCTGCCCCATACATTTTAACAGGTGTGCTAAGGCAGGGAGTCAAAGCAGCTCTATCTAATACACAGAAACACAGAGAGGCTCCCAAAATGAGGAGACAAAGAAATATGGCCCAAATGAAAGAACAGAACAAAACTCCAGAAAAAGAACTAAGCAAAATGTAGATAAGCAACCTATCAGATGCACAATTCACCAGTTAACAGGATGCTCCAGGAACTCATTGGGTACTTCAATGCTATAAAAAAAGACCCAGGTGAAAATGAAGGTTTCATGAAGTGAAATAAAGAAAAAACTACAGGGAACCAACAATAGAGAGGCTGAAGTTGAGAATCAAATTAACAACTTGGAACAGAGGAAGGAAAAATCATTCAATCAGAACAGTGGGAAGAAAAAATAATTCAAAAATATTAGGAGAGGCTTAGAGACCTCTGTTCCAAAGTTTAGGATATCTTTAAACTTACCAAAATCTGAATCACAGGAGCACCAGAAGAAGAGGAAGAGCAAAAAATTGAAAACTTATTTGAAAAAATAATGAAAGAAAACTTCCCTAATTTGGCAAAGAAAATTGATATACAAGTCCAGGAAGCACAGAGAGTTCCAAACAAGACGGACACAAAGAAGAGCACACCAAGACACATCATAACTAAAATGCCACAGGTTAAAGATAAAGAGAGACTCTTAAAAACAGCAAGTGAAAAGCAAACAATTACCTACAGAAGAGTTCCCATAAGACTGTCAGCTGATTTCTCAAAAGAAATTTTGCAGGCTGAAAAGGACTGGCAAGAAATATTAAAAGTGATGAAAAGCAAGGACCTACAACCTAGGTTACTTTATCCACCAAAGCTATTGTTTAGAATTGAAGGGCAGATAAAGTGCTTCCCAGACACGGTAAAACTACCAAGTCATTATTACAAAAGGGAACTACATAATAAAAAGAAAAGATCAAAATGATGAGCATTAAAATGGCAATAAATTCACAACTATCAATAACTGAACCCAAATAACAAACTAAGCAAACAAGCAGAACAGGAACAGAATTATAGATATGGAAACCATTTGGAGAGTTATCAGTTGGGAGGAGGAAAGAGGAAAATCGGGAGAAAGGTACAGGGATTAGGAAGCACAAATTGGTAGGTACAAAGTAGATAAGAACAGTATAGGTAATGGAGTAGCCAAAGAACTTATATGCATGAGCCATGGACATAATTAAGGAGGGAATTGCTGGAGAGAATGGAGGTACCGGGTCAAAGGGGGCAAAGGGGAAAAATTGGGACAACTGTAATAGCATAATCAATAAAATATATTTAAAAAAAGAAAATAATACAAGAGTTTACTTTGAATAAGGTGGGTAGGAAATGGAACAAATGGAGAGATAAATATTTCATTGTATACCTTTCATGCTGTTTAATTTAGGTACTATTTAAATATATTTTTTATTCAAAGTTATGTTAAAATAAAGATGAGGAAATGAATGAATTAGGTTTATTGTGGTGATCACATCATAAGGTATATAAGTGTTGAATCACTATGTTGTACATGTGAAACTGATATAATATTGTATGTCAATTTTACTTAAAAAACATAAATAAGAGAAATAAATGAACAAGTCCTGCCTTAAAATAAAGCCAAGCCTTGGCCAGTGTGGCTCAGTTGGTTGGAACATAGTCCTGTAATTGAAAGGTTGCAGGTTCAATTCTCTGTCAGGACACACACCTAGACTACAGGGCTTAGTCCCCTGCCTGGGTGCGTGAGATTCCCTGGTCTCGGTGCGTACATCCCTGGTCTGCATGTAAGATCACCAGTCCTCCCATGTAGGGGAGGCAAACAATTGATGCTTCTCTCTAATATCGATGTTTCTCACTCTCCCTTCCGCTCTCTCTAAAAACAGCAATGAAAAAATGCCCCTGTGTGAGGATTTTTTTAAAAATTAAAGAAAAAATAAAGCCAAATATTTTCCAACAGATGTGTGTCTAAGTACAAGTTGTGACAGGGGTGAGAAGAAACTACAGGAACCATTGTCTCCTACATCCCAAACTTTGTTAGCATGAAATCACATAGTCAAAATAGACTTTGCATAGAGCCCTAACGACTGTTATGGGGGTCCTAAACATGGTCCATAAGATGGTCAGTGGGGTTCATTTAGGGG